AAGCTGAATGCTAGCTGGACAGTTCACTTGCCAAAACCATCACTCTGACAATTTCCTGTCCCTAGGAATTCAGTGCATTGAAAAGTTTGCAAAAATTTTGTGATTTCCTGTGAATGTATAGAATAAAAGTTAAAATAATAATAGAACAAACTAATTTAATTCTAACTGGATTGCAACAAATCATATAGTATTTTTGATAAAAGTATTTAAATCCATTTCCTGAAACAGGGTTTATGAGCCTATCTTACTATTATAAATCATTGCATTAACCTCCATTCTCAATTACCCAGGTAGCGAATTTGTACATAATAAAAACTGAGAAGTTACTCTCCTGGATCCTTAACATTGAAGAAGTTTGCAACGAAGAATGTATTTTAAGAAGTTGTAAAGAAAAGTTGAACAGTATAAATATTGTATATGTGTTTATATAGTAGTAAGAATATTGATAAGAATCTGTAGTACATATAGAAGAGTACTCAACACCATCACCAGAATGTATGATACTAATTTACATGTATTCCAAGAACGTTTTTAAAATTGACCTTTTTTAAGATTACAGTTTCGTGTCTTTTATTTACAGCTATACATGTATTTTTATTGCCAATGTCCATTATATATAGAATAAATGTTAAATAAATTATATTGATGTACTGAGTACATATTTTACACATTTCCAAGATGTGGTGTATTTCTAACTCATCATTGCCTTTTTGGTATTTAAAATCACATGTAGAATATTGTTTTTACTCCATGGCATTATAAACACTGTGCATCACAGCAACTGTTGGCCCACAAGTCTAGCTCATTATTAGGATATACATACACACATACAGAATGGGTTACATGATATTTACCAAGCGACAATAAAGCCACAGGATTGCTCGTCAGAAAACAACAAGGGTTACTCAAGAAGTTTTGCCTCATATTCTTCTCATCATAGTTGAAATTTGGTGACTAGAAAGTGTAAATAAGGCCTGTATACCAAATTTCAGCTGTTTTTGTAATCTTTTCCTCAGAAAAAATGTGGGGCAAGACATTCAGTGACCTACATACTTAAATATAAAACTTATTTATATTGTAAAAATATGTTCTAAATTTTATTACAGCAGATGCTGAAAGTTCCCTAGTCTCATCCTTAAACACACCTAATATTGTCAATTTTTGGAAATTTAGACTTCTAATTAAATCTGAATACATGCATGAATAAAGTAATTACATTACCTTCTTCCAAGCACAGAGTTCCTCAGGCACATTGTCACCGGCAGTGAACCTGGGTAAATTCATCACTTCACCCCAACATCAAAGGCAGCATTAAGAGTTGAAACACACCACCCACAAAACACTTCAAGAACTTGCATTCTGCAGGGAAGGTGGTGTTGACATTTTGGGATGCACACTGCATTCTCCTGGAGTTTCTGGACCACAGCAACAATGAAAACATACTGCTACTGATGGAAGCCTAAAACATTTTGGCTTGCTCACAGAGAAAGTGATCCTTCTCCAACACCATGCACCACCTCCATACTGCTTCGACCTTGCTCTTAGCAACTTCTTTTTCAATCCACTCAGAAGCATGTAGAAGAGAAACATGATTTCTTCATTGGAAGCCACATGTAGTTCATCACTGGAACAAATGTCTTAATTGCTGTGGCAGCTATGTGGAGAAATAGTGTGTTGGTCCATTATTCCTTGTTCTTTTGGATGTATCGAAATAAATACGAATGTAGCACATCTCTATGTTACTCATTCAACACAACCATTCACAGATTAAATCCATGAATGACAAACATTCAGCACCTTATATAATAACTACAGTAAACTGTTCCTATTACATTTGGAACTGATATTCAGTCTCAGAATATTCCATATCGAAGATGCTACTGCAGTAGACAGCCTGGCAGAATGCAGATCTGTTGCAGGACATATATAAGGATAGAGAAGGGAGACAGTTTGTGGATCCTATTAGATAAAAGGATGCTATTAAGGTTTTATTCTAAAATAATATTACATTTCACACAATAGCAGCTGTTTTATTAACAAATGACCATAACATTATGATCAGTTATTTATTTAATATGAATGTGATTTTTCTCAGAATGCCTTTATCTCATTTCCCAGTCAGTGGAATCATTACTAGAACAAAGTGAACAACTGTCAGAAGTATCAACATTTGAAAGGAAAGTATGATGAAAGGAATACAAGCCTCTAAGCTTCCTATGTTTGAAACCAAGTACATAAAGCTGTTTAAACTTACAAAATGAAGAGACCTGAAAAGTGAGGGAGGTAAACTTCATCTCTTGTATTTGTTCAGATTGGGTATATTTTTAAAGGAAACCCAGATGTGTGCACAATGTAGAAAAATTACTCGTACTTTGTAGTGAAATGTAGTAGTTCTTACTTTGATTTTAGACAATCTTCAAATTCAGTAACTGGCACTTTCATATAGATGGTTTTGCTTGGCTTTTAAAATTATGTCACAAAAATTTGCGAAGTATAATGTAAACAACAATATTAAAAGTACTGCATTCTAAATTTTGCAGCAAGCAACTAAAAACATTAATATCATTTAAAACTTTATCTTTTCTTACATGTGATGTTAATGCTGTTCATTAAAACTTTAAAGATGACTTCAAGAACATAATTGAAATCTACATTATTTATTAAATGCAAATATAGATGTAATTACTATAAAATCACATGCCACTTTCCTTCTGAAAAATAACTATTTAATGTTTTTCTTCTTGAAATTATTTACATGAGTACTGAGAAGTTAGGTACATTGGTATGTCCTGTGCAGGAGCCTTGTAATAAGACTAGATTTAATCTGCTCTAGACCAAACATGCAGCTAACAGAGCATCACTAAACAAACAGCTCTGCTTGAGAGATGAAATGGATACGATTCCTAGCATGTTTTGTAAAATGAAATTTTGGGAATGAAACTAGAATGTATAAAGATGGTTTCTTCTGGGTTGATGTGCCATGCAGTCTGGCAGAAGTTTCAGATGTGTATCAAAGTGATGATGGAGGCAGCAAGCACCTCTGAAATATTGATCACTTTACCAGACTGCATGACACAACCTAGAAGACAGACATCACTAGAATGGATACTTTGAAAATTAGATTATGTACTTATGCTCTTGTGTAAAGTGACTTAAAACTGTTCAAGCTAAATAAGAATTAAAATTACTTTGATAATTTTTTTGTAGAATTCCTCAATACAAAATTTAATTAATCAAAACAGTCTTATCCATTTCCAAGATGTTTAATTCATATAGGCAGAGGAATTTTAATAGATCCTCCACAGGGGAAAACTTTGGGAAATTGACTAACTCAGCAGCAGCAGCCGGTTTAACAGTTGTAACAAACCTACTAGTCACGTTATCACCAATACATGATTAAACCTTTTTAAAGACCAATCTGCAACATTTCTCTTGGACGGCTAATAGTAATAAAAATAAATACTGCTGAGTTCAAGAACCTTTCAAGTGCCTCCGATGCATGTCGAACAGCTTTTCTTTACATTTTTTATAATATATATTGTGGGCCATTTAAAACATTGTACAACCTCCCATATTTCAATAACCATTTTCATCTGATAAATACCTGGAAAGGATTTAATGGACCACATTGAATTCATGTAATACATTAAAGGAGTCGGGCTTTTGTCTTGATTTCCTCAACATAAAATTGGCATCATGCCATCTCCAAGGTTGCATTTGCCTCTTTTCTTCCCCAAAGCACTCAACTGGAATGTGTTATTTTTAGCAGTGTGGACTGAAGCTTGTTAACCTACTAATCATTGATCACACAAAATATGATGTAACTGATTTTTAGTGTTAATATTTCTGCCTGCTGTTCATTTGCAATGAAATCTTGCAGCTATGATCCTAAGTTCATTACAATGATACATGTTTGTTGTATTTCCATTCTTTAATGTATAATCATATGAATAAATTAAAACTAAGTGATGATCACTACTTAACCCACAGAGTCGGTAATTTAAATTCCGCACAAGGATAATGTTTTACCTCCCTCTTTTACTGCTAAGTGGTCTCCAACCAGACATCTAGAGACAAACAGAAGGTAACAAAGATTAACTTTTAACTATATGTGCATTCAGGTTTTAGACTTTTTAACCAAAGAGTGATACAACCCAGAAGACCAACACTAACGGATAAGAGAGAATTTCACTGTATTCAATTCTGACATACCAGGTGATTCAAAAAGGACTTTACAACTTTGAAAGTGTATAGAAATTTATTCAGAAGGCTTACAGAATCGGTTGAGGTGTCACTTTGTAGCAAAACAAATCAAGTTTGACTTGCGTTGTGCTGTAGTACCGAATTCCATCACCACGAGCGCAAGCGGCAGTGCATTTGAAAATGGCTCGAAAATTTTCTCATACCACAGTTAGACGAAGATGACCAAAAAGAACGCATTCACTTCCAGCAAGACGGCGCACCACCTCACTACCTCACAGAAGTCCAGGATTTCCTCAATAACTGTTTCCCAGGTCGGTGGATTGGTCGAACAGGGTCGATAGCATGGCCACCTCGTTCTCCAGATTTGACACCTCTCGATTTTTCCTTATGGGGTTTCATTAAAGATCGTGTGTATGTTCCACCCTTACCTGCCAATCTCACTGAGCTCAAAGCTCGAATCACCGCCGCAGTTGCAGAAGTGACACCGGATATGCTGGATCATGTTTGGCAAGAAATTGATTTCAGGTGGGATGTCTGCGGTATCACCAATGGCAATCACATCGAACCAAAATGACTGTTTGAGGTAAAACTTGATTTGTTTTGCTACAAAATGACACTTCAACCAATTCTGTAAGCCTTCTGAATAAATTTCTATACACTTTCAAAGTTGTAAAGTCCTTTTTGAATCACCCTGTATATAAAGCTGTCCATATCCCCTTTCTCATCTTGTTTTAATGTCTTCCAATGCACCTTATCTTCATCTTTTACATAACCGTTTCTCTCTTTGACAGCAGATACTCAAAATCCCAAGAAGTGTTCTCAGATGATAAAACTCATTTATACTACTGAAACAGATGCTTAGTCTTGCAATATAGCTGATAAAATGATTCAAACAACAATATTTTAATGAAAAAAGGTGACCTAGAACATTAATTATATAAAACAAAGTAAGCAGTATTTGTAAGTGGTAAACAAGCTTGGTTCAGAGTTTAAATGACTACTGCTTGAAAGTAACCATACTAATAATTAAAGTAATGTACACAATCGATCGTTAAATTGAAATGAGAGGGTACAATGAGAAATGTTGATTGCAAATAATATAATGAGCTTGTGCCAATCACCCTATGAAACACTTAGGAAACATATTTTCAAATGTGTATGAACAAGATGTTTTAATTAAAATTAAAACTCTCTCTACCAAAATCTCTGTGGACATCACAAAATAAGAGAAAAATACATAAAATAACCTACTCATTTGTACATAATACTTGATTCAGAACTGTTAACACTTATATTTTCTTGCGGTATTACCCGGAATGGATCAGTTGAATTCTTTCTCCTGCAAAGTACAATAATTTGTTAATTTCTGGGGAAGAAGAAGCAAAAGAAAAACCCACTGCCACAGACAAACGTAAAATTAACATTTTTGTATGATCTGAAACTTTCACGGTGACTAAGTATAATGAATTCTTCTTGGGCTACCAGCCTTGTCAGGTGGTTCAATGGAGAAAACACCATTCTGAGAAGGATAAACAATTTAATATAGTCTGACATACTTACAAATTTCACAACGTATCATCAGTCTTCATCGTGTGAGAGTTCTACTGGATTCACATGCTCCAAAATTTCAGATTGTTCTGCTAGATCTTTACCCTGGAATAAAGTAAAAATGGGCTAATCAGGACTCATAGACAACCCAGAACATATATTCCAACCAGGTACTAGAAGATACCAAGAAAGAACAGTTGGCAAGAAATCAAAAAGAAAAGATTATGGAACACTTCAACCAGTGACCTACATAAAATGGAAATAATGCTAGAAGAAGAAAATGATGAGGAAAAGAAAGATAAAAAGGAGGCTTCAATTTGCTTATTTGTCATGTAACTCTTTGATCACTTGGTAATGGTACCTTTGATTCCAGATACTGCTGGTAAAGTTTCTTGTTCTGCCAGCAGGACAAGTGTCAAGAGGCACAGTTCTGACATATATATGTCATAAAATGTTTGACTGCACAAAAAAATCCACTGTGTTCCACAGATGCTGCACACACATGTGGAAGGACAGGACAAAATTAAAGAAAATGAGTTATAAATTCAAATACCTCTGCGCCTGACAGTCCAGAAAGCAGATTAAAAGCAATGGAAGTGATGACTGAAGGACTGATGAAGTGGTACAGGATAATATGAGCAACTAAGTGATCATGGTGGTGATACAATTACCAAACATATCAGATACAGAAAGATATGTGCTTCTTCAGGAATATGACCATCCAGGAGACAGTTTCCTTTCACAGATGAATGTAAACATATATGTATATACTTAACAGGCAATAATACATTGAATAACAAACAATACTATGGCAACTTCAATCTTCCAACAAAATTTCTTGTATTAATTTACATATATTGAAGCAAACAGAACATAAAGGAAAGGGGGGGGGGGGGGGGGGTTTATATATGAGGTATATAGTTCAAACAAATTAGGCTAATCGTAAGAGTTTGGGTGTAAATTCTAAACTTTCCACAGACCAAGAAGTTAGTACCATATCACACTCTCTTGCAAAGACAGATCATTGACATACCTCTTGGAAGGTTTGCTTGAACTCTGCAGCAGCTTCCTCAGAGGAGAATTTTGCCATGAATTTCCTATGTACTGGAGGGTCCTCGGTATAATCCAAAGCAGACCATATGCAGTCACGCTTCTGCACCTGAAAACATGTAAGCATGTATGATGGAGGCAGTAAGCTCCTCTGAACCTTGGTCAGTATCTTCCAAACTACATGGTGAAATATCCTAGAATGCAGACACCTTCATACTTGTTGTCCACAGGATCTCGCACAGCATGTAATTTTATAACCTTTTTAACATTCCTACACAGCACCCACCAATCAACCAAACAAAACAATTTTGTGGCTCTTGTGATAAAAGCAGACAGGATCTTATAAAATGCCAATTTTATTCAACAGTGGCATGATTTACACCCTAAGAAGACTTACGGGAACCTGAACCCAAGTCAGCTTATTTCCTGATTCATTATACAGTAAATATACAGTAAAACCCCTCTAGTTGGACACTTTTAATTGGAACCAGTGAATATCCTATAATTTTACATATCCACAATACCTTTTGTTGTAAGTTGGACAGGTGCAAGCATGCACTTAGCTTCAATGCTTTTATGGGAAACGTTTACAGTTAGTATTTTGTTGTTTTGAATTTCTTGATGAATGCCTTCTACCTGAGGATTTGCTTATGGTTATGGAATGCAGTGAAAGTGTATAGTTATTCCTTTGTTAAACCCCTCACTGGAGTTTCAACTTTGTCAGTACTGTACAGTGCTTGCAACTGAGTTAAACAGTGTTAACAGAAATTTGGATGGTATGCTTTCCCTCATAACCAACAAGGAATGGTTGAAACTTTATTCAGATTGCGGCGAAAATTAGTAAGAGGATGGCAAATTCCAAGATAAAAGCAAAAAAGCAGTGTCATATGACAGACTTTTTTTACAAGAAATAAGTGACATCTTATGTTGAGCTAATGCCGTAAGTACAATTAAAAAAATACATTCTGAACATTTAAAATTTCATTGAGGCCGGGATGTAATGTGCAACCATGAGAGTGGGTTTCAAAAGATTATTATTGTCATTAATTCTTCATTCAAGCAAGCCTACAGTAGTTAGATTATGTAAGTAACTAGATTACACTGTCGGTAAACGTAAAGTATTGGTGCCCTTCCCTTTGAGCTTATCCAGGCAAGTTTAATTTAGTGAAAACAAAATTTAATTTACCCTTTTGATTTCTCTTATCAGTAATTTCCATTTTTTTTTTTTTTGGGAAGGGCTCCATAATACTCTACAATTACCACATTGTCATTACACCACAATTTGAAAAGATGCTTTTCCCCTTTCCCTCTATCCTGGACACCTCTGTAAGTTGGACACATTATCGTGGAACTGCAAGTGTCCAAGTTAGAGAGGTTTTACTGTATAATATTACTGATTATAAACCTGCAAGATTAACAACATATACAAGAATTTCATTTAGTTTCCAAACATTTTAATTTGGTACACAGATAATACACTGAGAGTAATTAGATAATACATCACTTACCACTAAATTAATTCCTCTGTACTCAATCTATACTATTATGTCAGTGCAGTCAGGTTTAGTTTAACACCAATTTTTCTTATATCCAAAGCATCTGCCTTTTAGATTCCTCTGTAAATTATATCCATTTTTCCAGAATTTGAGTTTTCACACATTTCAGCTTTACAGATTTACCGAGGTTTTGGTAATTTCAATAAAAATGTCCAAGGTTTATTCTAATCATCACTTGAATGCAGTCAACATTTTATACGTAATATAGACCTTCAGACAGTTCTAGGATGACAAGTCAACCTATGGCTTTCAAGAAACGGAAAGGATGGAAGCTCTTGGATCTTACAATTTGGAGTGCATTTTCTTTTTCCCTTGTCCATTTTGCATACTGTTGCCTTCTGAGGTTTAGATTTGTAAAATCATTTTAACTTTCACAAAACAATACAATCTATCACATCTAAATATTGTTCTTATTACTAAAAATCCCTTACCTCAAGAACAGTATTGAGGGCTATAATGGTATTACAAAGTTGTTCACCAGTTCCATCTTGTTCGACACATATACGAGCACCGAAGATATCAGGATCATACACAATTTTGAGATCTCCCAATCCGTGTGTGGACCATCCAGCAGTAAGTGGATCTTGGATCTGAAGTGTAACTCTCTTCTCAAACATCAGTGTCTTTTCACTTTCTTCTCCATCGTCTTCGTCAACATCATCATCATCATCGTCATCTTCTTCTTCTTCAGCCCCTTCATCCGAATCCTCAGAATCTTCTGAATATGGCTGACTAACAAGGACCGCTTCTGGGTTAGCTGGTTCTATGAATAAATAAAAGACAAATATGCTTTAATTCAAATTACACTCAAGTTCACTACTGTTAAAAAGCCAATCATTTTGCCTATTCTGACACAGTTCATTTCACAATTGTTACCATGCTAAACACTGGTATCCTGACAAGGAATACACTGACTTGTGTTTGCCCTTGGCTTCTAAATATTCATGGAACTGTTATCTAATGAATGCCTTACTTCATTCAGTAAGGTTTGAAAGGTTAGGTTTCTAGGTGCTATTTCCCTCCTTCTTGCTGCCCAAGTACAGATATTAAGCAGAAGAAAGGTGTTACATAACATAAAAAAATTCCACCACAAGTATTGTAAAAAGTTGCAAAGTTAAAAACAGTATTATGTGAAGATATGTAGAAGTCGTGAATCTTAAGACAGTAAAAAGCTCAGAAGAGAAGTAATGACGTGAGATAAGATAATCTCAAAGTTGGAGCCACAGAACCAAAAATTACATGTAAGACTTGAGGTTCTCACAGCGATGAGTATGAAGATTTCCGTCTTCTGGGTTGTTGCGCTGTGTAGTCTGGTCGATGTTAACCAACGTTTCAGAGGTCATACTGCCTCCGTCATCAGGGCGATGAAGATTTCCGTCTTCTGGGTTGTTGCGCTGTGTAGTCTGGTCGATGTTAACCAACGTTTCAGAGGTCATACTGCCTCCATCATCAGGGCGATGAGTATGAAGATTTCCGTCTTCTGGGTTGTTGCGCTGTGTAGTCTGGTCGATGTTAACCAACGTTTCAGAGGTCATACTGCCTCCGTCATCAGGGCGATGAATATGCCAATAGGGTGTGAGGTGCTAGGTTTATAGGGCCGGAGAGTGAAAGGTGTAGCCTGCTCTCTCTACTTTCTCTCCCTCTCCCACTCTCGCCCATGTGCTACCATTGGTCCACTCCCACGCCTGCTCCCATTGGCTCGGGGCAGGCTACACCTTTCACTCTCCGGCCCTATAAACCTAGCACCTCACACCCTATTGGCATATTCATCGCCCTGATGACAGAGGCAGTATGACCACTGAAACGTTGGTTAACATCGACCATACTACACAGTGCAACAACCCAGAAGACGGAAATCTTCAAAAATTACATATTAATGGCTTCAGTGGAATGTGTAAGATTCCAACTGTTGCAAAATATACTACTACTACCTATTAGCAAACATCCCATTGAAATGTGTTCTTGTACTGGGCCAACAATATTAACAGAGTTCATAAAAACAGCATTGTAGGACTGAGTAATGAAGGAAAATATTTTGCTGATTACGTTTCTAAACTAGACCAGACAAACTGATAGCACATTCTCTCTTCAATAACAATACATGAATATTACAATATAACCTTCCTCACATGTAGACAGTCATGAGTATTTTGTGATTATGTTAACAGGAATCCATTCCAATAAATGAATCAGTGAAGAGTAATGGGCAATTCCAATAAAATTAAGAAAGCATTTTCCCACTAACCTTCAGTTTCAGCTGCAGCTGTTGCCAGTTTCTCTACCTGCTTGATGCACTCATTTAACTTATCTCGAAACTCCTTGGCAGTTTCTGGCAACTTGAACCGTACAGCCAATTCTTCAACTTTTGGTTCATCCTCTTCTGCATAATTCAGGGCACCCCAACACCAAGCACAATCAGATGAACTCAATGGCTTCAAGGCGAGGTCTGCAGTTACCAGATGATTACATACAACCTTATGTACCTGCACAAAGAATATGAATATAACTGCACCTTGCTTGTATTAGTGTAAGAAGAAGAAACCTATAGGGCCTATAGTAAATGCTTACTTATTGTTTGATAAAGGCTGGATGTCCTTCAAGATTCAAATTTTCAAACCAAACATAGGTAGCCAATCAATTTCATTGCAAATGTTACTTGAAACTTATTTATTCATCAATATATTCTGTTAAAACTGATGTAATAAAGCATCTTTTAGGAAAATAAGTATATTACACATTTACAGACTGGCAGTATAGCAAATATCTTTAGTAGGGACGTTGAAAGCATCTGACATCTAGGCTCTAAGAAACAGTACCCTGACCATGAAACAAATCAAGTGTGTGTCAAACAGACTCCACTAGTAAAATAAGGGAACTCTTAGAATAAGTCAATATTGGACAACAATAATCATTTTCTCAAAAAGGCTTGTCAGATTGAATATATGAAATTCATATGAAGTGTTCGGCAAATGTTGTTACAATATTGTACAAAATATTCTTAACATCCTGAAAATTAACTTTGACTCTCAAAGTTTAATTACAAATAAAATAACTTTTGCATGCTGCTAAGAAGTACAAAATAATTTTATAAACGAGGTTTCAAAGTTTTTAAAGATTAACTTAGTATTTCATATGACATGATATGCAAAAGTACCTAATATGGACCAAAATTCAATTCAGTGAATGAAATTTGGCACAAGCTAATACTATTAGATGTAACAAGGATATGTCAAGCTAGAGTAGATATGTCAACATAGAGTACATAACAAGTGGTGATTTTCTTCAAACTTTAAATCTAAACTAAATGCCCACTCCAAACATAACCTATCGAAAATGCATGAATCTCTTTTCACTGTATATACCGACAACAGCAGATTTACCTGTTCCCTACGAAGCAGCAACCTGTAAGTGTTATTGAAGGGATGGTGCAAGATTTTCATTTCTCCAACACCCCTTTCCTTCCATTCTTTCGTGGCTGTTTCATATCTATAAAGTTTAGCGCGATGGCAGAAAACTGTAAAACCAATGTCACAGATAAAATAGACATAATACCAGATTATATTTACTTAGCTTACTGTAATAGAAATGAAAGAATCACAAAACTCAAGCCTACTCTTTAGTAGATGAGTAGCCCTGAGGATGAGGAGAGAGATGGTTCTCAAAATGTCAGCAACTTCTAATCATATGACATGGCTGATGGCCCAAGATGATTTTATTAACATAAAAGATTACCAACCTTTTGCCTCATCTTCTTCACCTGTCCTAACTTCTACTGCATCTGGCAAATCAACAATTGGCTCAAATTGAGGATCATGTGAACTGTTTGCTGTATCACCTGCACAACCTTCATCACCACTTGAATCACTTCCATCTCCTGTTATGTTAGCAGAAGCTTGCTGTATAGGAGAATTAGTGAACACAACTGTACCAGCTCCAGCCCAAGTAAAGGATTTACTGGTATCTACAGAGGAAGAATGTTTATGTAAGTGAAAATTTTATATTTTAATATTTAAAACAAAAACCTGAAAAAATATACACATATTTTACTTGACAAGAATATGATGATGTAAAAGAAAAGTTTCATTAAAGAAGAACCTACTACCATGCTTTAAGCAATCAACTGGCACTTCAAAAATGTACAAAAAAAAGTGATAGTGGAACCACGGTTCCGGAGAATTTGACGTAAATACGTCTATACAGAAAGGAAGTTTATATATTGGCATTATTCTAATTATTTCCTTTATACATGCTTTACAATTGAGATAAGTTTGATTAAGACACTGCTTATTCAACTTCAATTAGTTACGCTTAAAATGGGTCTGTGGTAGCTGAATGTAATGTAATGTAAAGTAAAGTAAGGTAGGGTTTAATTTATTTGTAGTGTTCTGTCTGCCGACAGGTCCATATGAACAGGATCCTTCCATCCTTTTCTCGGACTGCGACCTGTTCATATACGTTCTTGGCAGATGATCCAGAAGTGGTTTGCCATTGCCTTCTTCTGTGTGTGAATGGAGTAATTGTTCAATGTCGCACAAGTCGTCACGTTAATCTCTACGATCTTCGTGAATGGCCTGCCGAATCTTCGTAACATTTTCGGGCGTTGTGCTCGAAGATGGTCGTCCAGAACGCTCGTCATCATCGACAGATGTTCGGCCATTTTTAAAACGTGAATGCCACACAAAAGTTTGTGCACGACCCATTGCGGACTCCCCAAATGCTTGCTTCAGCATTTCATAGGTTTCCGTAGCCGTTTTGGCGAGCCTTTGGCAAAATTTGATGCACACTCTTTGTTCATGAAAATCCGCCATTCCGAAATTGCAGGAGGGTCGGTGTAATGCACTACCAAAACGCCCGTAACTAAGGAACAAATGCTAATTCGATGATGCGGCAGAAGCTCGTACTACATCCAGTTCGCCCTCTATTGACACAGTCTTGAAACTTTCCGATCACACCTCGTACAGTTGGTGCTCCAATTGAAATCCCTCCTTTCTTTCTATGATCCAATTTTCAGTTTTAACCTTTTTAAGTTTTTGTAAATGTGCTAACCCTTATCCCTCAAACAAAGATACTCTTGCATACCAACAGATATCAGATTTATATTCTACAGAATTTAAGATACCTTTTAGGCACGTCCATATCATTATGGAGTGCCTACAAACATGTACTTTGGCCAACTGTAAATATGCAACAACTTGCAGACTGCTAAACAGATTTCTATATCTGATCCTGGAGAGTTTTTTTAAAATCTGTTGACACATTCCAGCGGGCACTTCACATGAAGACACACATCTGCGTCAGCAGAAGTGACTGGGTGGTCAATCACCAGCCAGCGATTCCCCAGCTATTCTTAAAGGCCCCATTCTCACAAATATGTCAGAGTTGTTATGATATGCAGGCATTATCTACTTCATCAGTTACATCACTGCACTAGAACTGACAATTGATTTACCTGACAAATTTAAGATGTTGAGGTGACTACTGTCCAAAGATCACGAGAAAAACCCTGCTGAGGGAAGTTGTTTCTGGTGCGGGGGGAATGTTACTTATCAGCTGGACTAGAGGGCTGCTATTGGTGGGAAGTGTGATACGTCAGAGTTTTACACTACTACACACAGAATGAAAACATCAAGCCTTTACGAGTAGCGTGTAGTGAGTGCACCTCTAATGTGTTCAGTGGGTGTTGCGATAATATTCTAGATTAAATCACTGTGCCGCTGTGAGGTAAACTTAAAGCTGTACCCATTAGAACACATGAAAGCTTGTCGTCTGTTGTTCATTCAGTGGTTGTGGAACGAATGCTTTTAGGATCGGTCGTCACTCACCGCGAAAAATCTTGCGCATGCGCGTATATCAAACTCCTAGCAGGGATTTTCTCCTGATCTGTGGACTGTATGTACCAACTACTTTAACAATAAACAACGCTACATTTTGCCAAAAAGCACATTTATGGGTTTTGTATGTTTCTCAGAGAAAACAGTAAATATTTCCTTAAATAGCATTAAGCAACGAAGAGAGTTGTATTTTCTTTGATATCACTGACTGAATGTTTTAATATTATTTTGATGAGCTTTGGCTTCAGAGGGTTAATGTATATTCATAACCTACACTTGAAACAGTAAATCAGAATTCTTACCTGTCTTGAATAGTTGTTGCTCTGATTTGCTTGCCAAACTGGCAAATGAGAGATTTAAATCATAAGGCAGAAATGGCACACCTTCCACTTCTTTTTTCTGGAAAGATGATTCTGCCGCCTCAGTAGCTGCACCAAAGTTGAAACCGCTATTCTTAGGTTTAGAAATGTCTGAGGTGGCAGAAGGTACAACACAAAAGCCGGGATCTAAGGAAGTCTTAGTGGGAGGTGTTGCTGTCAATTTCTGACCAAGGGCACTGCTAAAACTTATGGGTTTAATTTCAACAGGTTCTGATGTAGATGCAGGTTTTGAACCAGCAGGAGAAAAGACAAAACAAGATGGTTTTGTCTCAGCGGTAGCAGTTGAAGCCGTGGCTGTAGGTTTTAAACCAAGAGCCGCAAAACCAGATCCTAATGCTGGCATGGTGAAAGTTGTTTTAGGAGTGGTTGACTGTTGGGGCTGGGTAGTTTTTGGTAACAGATGAGTAAGCAGGGGACTATGGTGTTGAGTTGAGACCTGTGGTGAACTGAAGAATGTACTTGGGGTCAGTTGTGATACTGAACTCCCTGATGAAGGCTGAATATTGAATACTGAACAAGTATTCTGTTGTCCTTGAGTTGAGATTAAAGCAGCCTGACCAAGAGTAATTCCTGTGGAAACAGCCACAGGAATGAACTGTGGTAATGTTGTTGATTCAGATGAAGAAGATATAACCCCTGAGCAATTTACTGATATCACTTGTGAAGATGTAATGGGAGTTGGTTTCTGGCTACCTGACTGAGCGGTGGGAGTACTTGATGCTACATTTGTAGGTGCTGACTGTCCAGACAAAATTAAGGTTTTCAGAGCAGTCGATGTAGTACTTTTATTCTTTGGAGAACTCATAGGGTGAATGATGGATCCAGATCTATCCATCTGCTCTATGGAATCCTGTATGCTCTTATAAACCTGGACATAAGAAGAAAAAAGTGACAATATAGCAGACATTCAGTATGACAATAAATCCACATGCCAAACATCACAGATTTAAAACTGACAACATATATATATATATATATATTTGCATCCCTTACCAAACCCTCATCTCTGACAAAGTAAAAATACTGTGCATGTGCAAAGTACAAGACCCTCCTCAAGTTTCTGGTCTCTCTGCACAACCACAATCATTAGCATCACATCAACAGAAAACTGTTCTATGGGTATTTTCATTTCAAAAGTACAGAGCTTTTAAAAAAAGCGACAGAGAATGAGACTAAACCACATTCTAGACATCTGATAAATAAACTGACAAATGATATCAACGGTAAGTCATAACCATAACCATATCCTCTGAAGTCTCATTCTTACTTATGAATATTCTTTGAGAGTAATACTGAATACTTCTTCTTCTTCTATGGCTCTCCGGTCCATATTCGGTCCATCAGTAAATCCAAAATTAATAAATTCCTGGGCACTTTAATTGAGACTTGATGCGTAATGTAATGCAACCATCAAATTATTGATGCTGCTCCAATTTACTATCAACAAACCTCATTACTTTCAATTGCTAGGGCAAAAAGCATTTTAGTCAACTATGTATAAACAGCCTATATTCAGTACTGTATGAAAGCAATGTCTTGTTTTGTGTCTACTATTTTTATTTTTATTTAGTGTTCTGTCTGACAACAGGTCCATAGGAACAGGATCCTTCCATCCTTTTCTCGGACTGGGACCTGTTCATATACGTTCTTGGCAGATGATCCAGAAGTGTCTACATCTGGTAATAAAGCCCTGAATATTTTCACATATAGGTAAGACATAAGCAACACAAGTTTGAAAAACACTGGTTGTGTCATGTCATCCAGTATTTGTTCTGCTTTATAACATACTTAATTATGAAAATTACAAAGTACGACTAAATTATGGAAATCTGTCCTCATGTCCATATAACTTTCAAACAGCTGTGCCTGGTAATTGTCAGTGATGTCCCCAATTAGGGCAGGAAATGGTCCAGAATTAACTACTGCTTAGGGAATATGAAAGAAACAGGAGAATATAAACTTAACATGCACAACTTGTGAAAAATGGGAAATAAAATTCTCACTAGCTTCAAACACTTCTTTCAGAACCAAGCTAAAAGTACTAGATGTCCTTACAATAGTGGACGATTTGGAGGGCATGTAATTATTTATTTATAACATACACGAAAAACTTAAATTTTAACTCCATGGCCACATGTGAATAAACTTAAATGTTGTGTAACTATTGTAGCACATTGGTTTTTCATATGTTATAAATAAATAATTACAACCCTTCAAATCATTCTCTAATTTATGGGCATCCTGTATATTTAGAGAATGTAAGTATTGTAATGAATAGCCATATTTTATACCTCAGGATCACTATCAGGTTCACAGCCAGCACAGCCAGGGCATGGAGGCTTACGCAAATATGAATAGAAATTAGCAGGAAGTTTTAGTTGCATGGCAGCTTCTTCCTCTTCTGGAGTTACTTTAAGCTCATACACAACAGCCACATCATCTGAAAGAAAATACAGTATGCTGCTTAGCAGGTCACTGAAGCACAGTGAAGACAAACCATCAGTCACGAAGTGGAAAGGACACATAATATCTTAAAAGATCAGTGCATTATACCCACATCACACAAAAATTTAGCAATCAAATGTGAAAAATACATAACAAACAAAGGAGGCATACTAGCAGATACAGCCACCTATATTTATAATAACGTATTTGGGAAAGAGCAGAAATATGGACAAAAATAGTCAAACACACTAATCTGAATTAAATTTCACAGTGAATGTTTAATGGCTGAATAATAAAACAGCATTTATGATCTAAATCTTTCACGGGGACTAAGTATAATGAATTCCTCTCAGTCTACCAACCATGTAAAGTGGTTTAAAGGAGAAAACACCATTTTGAGAACCATCTTCATCCTCAGGGTACTGTAGCTGACAACATTGGTGTTTTCTCCACTAAACCACCTTTCATGGCTGGTAGCCCAAGAGGAATTCATTATAAGTATAACATATGTTGTGTTAGAAATATACAACACTGAACCTTTAAAACAAGATGCTGAAACATACTTGAAGATTTAATTATAATTTATGCGTATTGTATATTTACATTCTAATAATACGAGAAAAAAAGAAGACAAGTAACTCCCACAAATTTTTGGTGATTCTGATACTGCAATGGAACTAATTTGACAAACAAAGCAAACAGTTCTGGTAAAATATTATCTTTCTTTAAAATGCTTCCACCTACATAAAGACAACAAAACCAAATTAATATGAACACAATTCCCCAAATATACATATCCATAACATCTAATTCCTTTGATGCCATTACTGTACATGGCATTTGTAACATACAAAGAACTGATTCATACAAAACTTATGGCTACAGAGAATCCATCTGCGTAACAAAATGAAAATGGTCAAAGTAGTTCAACAGTTATGGCAAGAAAGAATATGTAACATACATTTCATGCAGTCCCAATGTTGTTATCTTACATTACACAAACAAATTTACTGAACAAAAGTGTGCATTTCTCAAAGTTCTATCAATAAACAGATTTTAGGGTCCTACGTTAAATAGCGTTACTAATGCATTTATGTATAAAATTCACACAACCACGATGGTACTGAGAAAGGCTGTGAATAAAACTGTATGAAAATGGCAGGATAATCACACTAAATTTCATAGAAATCAACCATCTGGTTCAGAACTTATTACATATACATGCACACATATGAATACAGACACACAAACTCATACATGAAAAAAAAGTAAGCCAGAAAGTATATATGGATGTGCTAACAGTTAATTTTCAAACTGTCTAGAAACTTCATTATGTCTTGAGTTTATAGTTGGAGAATAAAAAGAGTCTATTGCTTCTGCCTTCATTGTCTTCACAGATGAAACAATGTTACCAACATTTTTCAAAGAATTTAAAATTTGGTTCATTATAAATTTATTACATAAACTGATTTTAATATAATATATGATATCTTAAAGTTCAAGTTCAAAATTATATCACTGATCTATATTGGACAATACGGACCATCACTTTACATGCACTACAAACATGGGCTTTTGAATAAGATACATTTTCATGCCATTCTAAAAAAAACTGGTAAAATTTAATACTGGAATTTCACAACAAAACTCAACCCCTACATACTACTGCAGAACCCTAATAAGGAAACTGATTC